GGGCAGCGCGAGACCGACGCCACAACGGTCCGCGTCGTTAAGCTGAAGAACGGCAAGATGATGCACGCGCGGGCTTTCGGCATGTGCAAGCGGGGCGACCACGCGCATGCCATCGCGTACATGCTTCCCCCGTTCTGCTCGGTCCCCAGCGGGCCCGCGCGACCCGAGTCCACGTGCGAGACGGAGCCCCATATCTAGCGCCACACGGGCAGCGACCCCCATCACCTGGCACACGGACGGCGCCGGGTGCCGCGGCACCTTGCCAACCATACCCGCGTGAAGCACTCCAAGCGCCAGTGGGTTATCGCGAAGAACTTGGCGCTCAAAGGCGGTGACGTGCTGTGCTGTCGCGGCGGCGCCCAGCTTCAGGACGGCCTGTGGGCCCACATGAAAGGCCAAGTCCCGACGACGATGAACGCGCACACGGCGGAGGCCCAGGACAATCTCTCCAAGTGGGTGCACCGCTGGTCATGGAGGTGCAGGCGCGCCAGTTGCACCGACATGTTCTTGGAGCTGGGGTCGGCCGCGCACCTGGCCAGGGAGCGCGGCTGCATCTGGTAGATGGAACCGCATGTAGCATTCCTCTCTGATGGTAGAACTTTGCCCTGAGGATTGTGCGCGATTTCTTGCCCCGTCTCCAGGGGCGCTTTTCATTGCCAGTTGCAACGCTGGAGTTCCTAGCCAGCGCCGCGGCGAAGTGCCGCGCGGTGGCACCCGCGCGCGGCGCGCGCACATTGCGCGCCACTTGCCGGGGGAGCTCTGCGTCGGAAAAGCGCGCGCCATAGAGGGAGGCCGGGGGGGGGGGGGGTTCTTTCTTTTTCCCAACCATCTTGTGGTGTTGGGTCCTCGTTTTGAAGAGACGGTGCCCCGCGTTCCTCTCCTCTCCTCTCCTCTCCTCCTCTTCCCCCTCCTCCCTCGTGCCCGCGCCCGCATGCGTCAGCCACGCCCATTTCGGCACGCCCCTCACACGTTTCGCGGCTCCATAGGGAGCTCCACCGAAGGCCCCAGCGCCCGCGCCCGCATGCGTCACCCACGCCCATTTCGGCACGCCCCTCACACGCTTCGTGGCTCCATAGGGAGCTCCAGCGAAGGCCCCAGTGCCCGCGCCCACGTGCGTCAGCCACACCCATTTCGGCACACCCCTCACACGCTTCGTGGCTCCATGGGGAGCTCCACCGAAGGCCCCAGTGCCCGCGCCCGCATGCGTCACCCACACCCATTTCGGCACACCCCTCACACGTTTCGTGGCTCCATAGGGAGCTCCACCGAAGGCCCCAGTGCCCGCGCCCGCATGCGTCACCCACACCCATTTCGGCACACCCCTCACACGTTTCGTGGCTCCATAGGGAGCTCCACCGAAGGCCCCAGTGCCCGCGCCCGCATGCGTCAGCCACACCCATTTCGGCACGCCCCTCACCCCGTGGCCCCACAGGGAGCTTTCGCGGCACGCCCCTCACACGTTTCGCGGCTCCATGGGGAGCTCCACCGAAGGCTCCAGTGCCCGCGCCCGCATGCGTCACCCACGCCCATTTCGGCACACCCCTCACACGCTTCGTGGCTCCATAGGGAGCTCGGCCGAAGGCCCCAGTGCCCGCGCCCACATGCGTCACCCACACCCATTTCGGCACACCCCTCACACGCTTCGCGGCTCCATAGGGAGCTCCACCGAAGGCCCCAGTGCCCGCGCCCGCATGCGTCAGCCACACCCATTTCGGCACACCCCTCACACGTTTCGTGGCTCCATAGGGAGCTCCACCGAAGGCCCCAGTGCCCGCGCCCGCATGCGTCAGCCACACCCATTTCGGCACACCCCTCACACGTTTCGTGGCTCCATAGGGAGCTCCACCGAAGGCCCCAGTGCCCGCGCCCGCATGCGTCAGCCACACCCATTTCGGCACACCCCTCACACGTTTCGTGGCTGCCATAGGGAGCTCCACCGAAGGCCCCAGTGCCCGCGCCCGCATGCGTCACCCACACCCATTTCGGCACACCCCTCACACGTTTCGTGGCTCCATAGGGAGCTCCACCGAAGGCCCCAGTGCCCGCGCCCACATGCGTCACCCACACCCATTTCGGCACACCCCTCACACGTTTCGTGGCCCCATAGGGAGCTCCACCGAAGGCCCCAGTGCCCGCGCCCGCATGCGTCACCCACACCCATTTCGGCACACCCCTCACACGTTTCGTGGCTCCATAGGGAGCTCCACCGAAGGCCCCAGTGCCCGCGCCCGCATGCGTCAGCCACGCCCATTTCGGCACGCCCCTCACGCGTTCCGTGGCCCCATAGGGAGCTCCGCCGAAGGTCCCAGTGGGTGTGCCCGCATGCGTCCCGCACACCCATTTCGGCACACCCCTCACACGTTTCGGGGCCCCGTAGGGAGCTCCACCGAAGGCCCCAATGGGTGTGCCCGCATGCGCCCCGCACACGCGTTTCGGTACACCCCTCGTGCGTTTCGCGGCCCCGTAGAGGGGGCTCCACCGAGAAGATATTCACAATTGCAATATTCACAATTGCATATGGTTGGGTCCTTTGCCAGGATAATGTTTCTTTTTTTCTCTCTCTGTCTCTCTCTCTCTCTCTCTCTCTGTCCCTCTCTCTCTCTCTCTCTTTCTCTCTCTCTCTCTCTCTTTCTCTCTCTCTCTCTCTCTCTCTCTCTCTCTCTCTCTCTCTCTCTCTCCCGCCGAACTCGTAGCTTCTTGCCCCCAGAGCGACAGGGGGGGGCCCGCGGGGGGCCCATGGCGCCAAGTTGTCTCCATGAGTATTTGGGGGCCATCTCAGAATAGGCCTTCACACGGCCTTGCTGTTGATAGCTGGGACTCATTTCGCACTTCCAGTTATCAGGGGAGACCCCAAAGTTAAAGCGAATGTAGTCTTGCAGGCGCTGATTGGGGAGGCCCTGAACAAACGCTAATGCGAAGGCAATGGGCAGGGATAGCCCCAAACCAAGAAGGCTAAACTTTGCTCAGCGACACAGTCGCCTGAGAAGGGAGAGGCGCTCTCAATAGAAGACAGTGCTTTGGCCCAAAGGGCGAACTCCCTACTGAACGGGCGCAGCCGGGGGTTGGGGATCGCGGCCTAGTGCCGGATCTGGTGGTGGAAACAGCGGACAGAAACCTGACGGCCGAAATGAGGGCGGAGGAGGAGGTCAACCTCCCGTTCTGGTCCGCCTGAACCTCCTCGTTTGGAAGGAGCAGGTGGTGGATCCGATTCGCCTTATTTGGCCCGTGGCATTTGGAATGCGCTGCAACACAGAGAGCAAACAGGGGCCGGCGCAGCCGCGCCCGTGCCAAACAACGAAGTGCCTGATGAATGGGCCCGCCGCATTAAAGGGATAGTAATGCTGTGTGCTGATGCGGTAATTCCCTACCTTAAGAACTCGTTGGCATGGCTTCAGTGTCAACAGCTGTGCCAAGCCATTACATCATTGGCGGAAGTGCACGGCCATGCATGGATCCCCCATACAGTGGTGAGGATATGGCCGCCATGGTGCGAACTGGCAGACCCCCAAGTGATTTCCTCCGGCCTTTGGAGCAGAGTTTGCACAAAAGGATACAAGTGTTGGGGCGCTGTCATGCATATTGTTTCGGATTGCGCATGCAAGTTCAGCGATGCGAAAGACAAGGGTCTTCGCCCTATTGCTCGCCCGCAAACCTTCACGCGGGATAGTCTTAATGGAACGGACGTAGATATTGAATGCGGAGCTTGCGGACCAACGTTTCTGGAATTCATGACGAAGGAACATTTGTGGAATAATCTGGTTCCCAATCATATGGGAGGCTTCAAGCTTGGTCAACACACGCCATAACAATATACATATATTTACACATATACATATATATACATGTGCTTGTGTTTGCACGTGAAGGTCGAGAGTGGCTTATCCGTTTGTCGCTACAGAAAGACGATCATAACTGTCTGTGCTTGCATTGAGGGTCGAAAGAGTCTTATCCCATTGTCACTGCAGTTTCTCTCCGTAGCCCCTTGTTTTTGTTTTCGGAGGGCCCCCCCGGGGCATGGGCGAGATTGCGCCTGCGGAGCGAGCCGAGCGCGCCCTGTGTCCCGCGCGGGCCACCCTCGCCGCGGAGGCGGGCCAGCTGGCGCGGGGACTTCCGTCAGCGTGGTGGCCCCCAGAGGCCGAGGCGGCTGCGGGAGGCCGCGAGCAGGAGGCGTGTCCTGAGATCGTCTGCGGAGCTTGTCCAGACGTGAGCTGTCTGCCCTGTCCAGCGGTCGCGCCGCGCACGGCGGAACCGGGCCCGTGGCGGTTTGCCGGCGCGGGAGCGTGCTTCATCTTCGGGGTCGAGCAGTTCTGGCGATTCGTGAGGAGCCAGTGTTGCCAGTCCCGCCGTGTCCATGGCTCAGCTCCGGCGCGACACGGGGGCGGCGCGGTGGCGTGACCTGGAGCCGGGGGCCCTCTTTGTGACGAATTTCGAGGGCGACGCAGTGGCTCGCGAGAGATTGCTGCTGGGGCCCTTGGACGAGAAGATGTGGTGCAACCTCACCCTAGGCGGCGACGTCTATGTGGGGCCCGTGATGAAGAATTTGGATTGGGGGGTGCTCGACACCACCCCGCTGGACGATGTGGGCACGGTGCCAGACGGTCTCACGCTGAGAGCTTACCGCTTCGGCGACTACCTCACCTTCGACGCCTTGAAAGAGCTGATGAGGGGCGGCCGAGCAATGGTTCGCGCCGAGCTTGGCCGCTATGTGCCCGAGGTGTCGATGGAGCTGGCCCCACCTGTGAGCGAGTGCCGCTGGAGACCTTCGCGCCGGAGCTCTTGGTGACGCATCGGATGCCTCGAGAAGCGGAGGCCGCAGCAGTGCGCGATGATTATGTTTGGATGCTGACGGAGCCTTCTGGTCGATGTGCCATCGGAACAGAGATCGAGGCTGGGGCGAGGGTGCTCCTGGCGCCGGGTGGTCTTGCTATGCTTGTGAAGCTAGATGACCATTCGCGGCGCGTCGAATGCTTGGCGCCCTAGGCAGTCCCCGGCTTTGCGAGGCACCGCTGTGGTGAGCTGAAGGACAGCCTGGGGGCCATCGCGGAGGAGCTGGGCGTGGACGAGTCCGACCTCCACGACAGGCTCGGGAGGGTTCTCCTTGAGGCCGTCGGGGGAACGGATGCTCTCCCAGCGGTTCCCGCTGCAGATTGGACTCCCGAGACGGGCGACCTGCGGGCCCTGGTGATCGACTGCGGCGGCCAGGGCGGGCGCTGCAAGGCGTGGAAGCAGGTGGCGCAGGAGAGCAGCAGTGAGACGTGCGAGGCGCAGCGCATGGAGGGCCCCCCGGTCGCGCTGCCGAGGAGGAAGCGCATGCTACAGACAGGAGGAGATCCCCGCCTCGGGCTGCTGGAGTGGCCGCGCATGACAGACAGACAGGGGTCGCCTCGACAGACAGGGTCGCGCATGAGCTGCGCGCCCTGGCGGAGCCCCTCTGACTGGCCGGCGCCGTTGGCCAGGTCGGCATCGGCAAGCTGCTCTGCACCGAGGCGATATGTCGACGCACGGCAGGGATTGTATACGTCGATCCGGCCAAGCCGGCCTGGAACCTGACCCGCCACTACACAGGCCAGATGTCGGTTGGGGGCGCGGTCGGATCCGCGGTGCGCAGCTTCGTGCTCATGCGAGCCAAAGGGGGCTGCGAGGCTGGCGCCGGCGGGTCGCGGAGATCCCCAGTCGAGTCTGGCGCCGGCGGCCCAGCTGTCGGCGGCGCTGATGGCGGCGGCGAAGGCCGCGGCGGAGGGGGGCGCGGCGGGCGCGGGCGCGGGCGCGGCGACAAACGCCGCGGACTCTAAATCGAGCTGGGGGACGCAAGGAGCGGAAGCGAGCGCGCGCCCGCGGCCATTTTGGCTCAAGCGGCCGGCCGCCCAGATTTGACAGTGCCTCACCACGAGGCACACTATCGCTTTTGATACTAAAAGGCATCTCCTTTTACTTGACATGGCATCCCCTCTTGCCTTGGGACTATCGTTACGGCGATGCAACCGAGCTGGAGCTTGGCTTCGCCTGAGGCGAAGCTGTTGGCGGGGCCTCCCGGCCCCCTTCAAACTTGGTAGCGGAGCTGGCCTATGGTGGTCAGCTCTAGCTCTACTGCTCACCATCCACTGCACTATCTGGTGGACTACAGTTACGGTGGAACACCAGGGTGCAGTGTCATTGCGCGGAGGAGTGCACATCGATACGCAGTGCCGCAAAGAGACTTGCAGCGACGCCTCTGCCCCAGCGGAGGTCTCTGATTCATATTCTACATTCCTGCGCTATTGCACTCCTGAAGTCCACCCACCCACTCAAATTTGAACTATCTTCGAAGATATAACGCGCGGAAACATGCGATGCTATATACTTCCGCCTCCGACCCCTCGCAGACTTACGACGACAAAACGCGAGTCTCCACCGACAACGACCGACGAGGCCATTGGATTGGAGTTACTATCTTTGGGCTCATATATGGGTCGTTCTTGGATGCGCGGTGGGACATATGCGGGGCGGAGACGACGCTAGGACGACCGGCCTCCATTGAAGCACTGCGGGTCAAGTACCATTTCGCGAGTTTGTCCGCGAGGTACACGCCTGGATCAACGTGACCACAGGCAACCTGGCGCCCCCCCAACAGGCCGCCACACTCCAGCGCGGTCCTAGAGGGCTCGCGCGGACCATAGCCATGAGAGTTCCCCCAGCAGTCATGAATTATGGTGTCAATATTGGTGGTCGCCACACCGTCGGCGCCACCTACACTATGTTCTTCTTAAGTACGAAGTTCGAGAACCTCGAAGAGGAACGCCAACTCAACTCTGGCACGGCTCTCATTGACTTTCGTGTCCATGCGGGAGAACGAATCGACCAGCCGTGAGCACGGTTCGAAATAGCCGCTACGAAGCAGAAACCGCCGGCTTCAACATCCCCAACTTCCAGATATTAACAGCAATATATTCAGAGCTCTGGGAGTGGGGGCGTCTCGGGTACAGCAACTCTTGCAGCCTCTGAACCAACATATGCCGAGGGACCAAGCACAATGTGATGCTCTCTTCGAACGTATGAGATCATGTGCTCACATAGCTGAGAGACCCCCTGGCAATCTTGGTGGTATTTCTATTCACGGTCACCGAACCGAGACCTTCCATATAGAGGCCAACGCAGGGCAATCTGCTAACAACGTCTCGAACGATGATGCGCCGCCGACTGAGACCACTACACTGTTGGCCCAGAATGGCGGCACGGCCTCGGGGTCTCAAGACCCCTGGGCCAGATCTAGGGGACCACCCGACGCGGTCTCCCCTGTACAAGCTATGACCCTAATGGTCTCCGCGGGGCAACCCACCGAGGCCGACCTCGATTCCGGTACCGATACCGATGCGTCTTCTGATGATGAAACTACCGCGCTGGACTACTCTGATATACCTACATACCTTACTGAAGAGCAGCAAGCTCAGTGATTATTTTTGGGCGATCAAAAACACAAGCGTCGTTGGCGGAGATTCATGAAGAAACCAGCCAGAAGGGTAAGACGCATGGCACGGCGGACACCCAAAGGAAAAGGCAAGGGTCGAAGTAAAGGAAAAAAGTAGGCGTCGGCGACTACACGGTAGAGGTATACTAGCATTCCTAGCATCTCTCACTGGGCCCCAGTATGAAGGAATGTTCTAGGTGCTGGCAGGAACCTTAGGCGCGCATCAGGTAGAGGTAAAGGGCGACGAGGAAATCCAAAGGATGCCAACGGTAAAACTATGGAGTGCGAAGTATGCCACAGTACACAGAGATTCCGACGCGAATGCCCCCAAGGCGATGGAAGAGGCAGGGGTCCGTCAATACATTTTGGCCCAAACGGACTCCGATATACAGTACGTCGACTGGGGGTCGCTTTTGGCCGACCCTGCTGACGGCGCAGCCACAGTCATTCATTTCACGGTTGCCAGGTATTTGTGTGCCAGCATGAACCTCGAGAATTACGCCGACGAGCTGTTCGAAGAGGTGTTCACCGGCCACAGCGATATCGACTTGGCAGAGTGGCTGGGTATACCCATCGCGGGGCAACTTGCAGATATTGAGTTTGCCAAGAACTTCCACATGCCAGTCGAAGATGTTTTTGGTATGGCGGGGGCACCCGCGGACTCTGATTCTACCATTCCTGCAACGGATGAAGAAGTACATGCCATACTTTATCCCCCGGCGATTGGAAATCCGACAAACACGGAATCGATCGATGATGATCCATTGCGGGGGAGCCCGCGTGACGCTGGTGACCTATCTGAACGTATTCAATATGGGCTTGGACAGAATGGATAATTTCTGCATGATCTTGTTGCGTCATATCGGTCCGCCAGCAGTCCGAGGCAATCGCCAAGCCGCGTGCCTTTCATAAGGGAAAAGAAATAGCACGACGATCCAAGCCTTTCGCCAATGGACGACGAGGATGAACAGGGATATGATGACCGCATGGTACGTCGCGGTCGAGCTCCTAGTTTCTCACCAGATCGGGCGCGAGCCCGCTCCAGTGGTGCTCGTTCGAGTGGTGTTCGGCGTCCTCATCCTCCTGAGGCGGGAACTTCAAGCGGCCCTCCATGGGGGGGCGCCAAGAGCGCATACTCCCCCAAGGAGGGAACGTCTGCGGGGAAACCCGCCTCCAGACAATCAGCACCGAGGAGAAGAATATCCAGAAGGCCAACTACAGCGTTTAAAAGGCTGGAGCAAACCTGGATTGGCTCGTCAGCAGAAGCCTGCAGAGACGATGGAATACTTGTTGAACGGGGGTTGGACCGAACATCAAATTCGACACTGGTATTCTTTTCGCCAAGCTAAGCGAAACGATACTGGTACTATCATTCGTTCGACGATGGGACAGACTAAAACGCAGGAGAAGATGATCGTGCGTGTTCACAAAAGGGCCATCATCGAGGATCGAAAGCAGTATCGAGGCGTTTGCTGCACATGCCCCAGCTATGCCGATCACAGGCTTGGTTGTCCCATGAGACGCCCATCAAGAAGTCCGAATTTCAAAAGAACGCTGTGGGTTTGGTCACATGGAGATGGTCGGGGCATCTGTGCTGACCCCAACAGAACGCCATGCGATAAGCGGCTGACGGAAGAGAATTACCTCCCTGCTACAGCTACAGAAACTGAACCAACAAAGGCTATTTGGAAGAGCTTGACGCCCATTATCTGGCGCAGTTCAATCGTGATTGGCATGCAGGGGAACCTGCCGAGTACAAATCAGAGGAAGAGAGTCATCCATACGTCTATGAAGTTGAAGATGAAGATGCTGACATGGCTGAAGAAGTTGATCCTACGGAAGCCGCCATTGGCGACGGTGAAGCAAGTGATTCGGGTATCACGGACGTTAGATGCGGCACTGATGCCCCGATCGGCCCCCAATTACGTTGTCATTAGAGACATGGAGCTCTCGCCCGGCAGGCGGATCGCTTACCGCGCCCAAGGAGCGGGCTGGATCACTACTTTCATAGCCGGACGACGTAGTGCAGATAAGTACTTACTTGGTGGAAAAAAAAACACAAAGGAGGTCACATCACAGTTCTGATTAAGAACATGGCCCTCAGGAGGCCAGGTGGTGAAGATCAAAATCCTGGCCGGGGTATCATAAAACGTTTTCGTCGGCATTTTTCTGGGACGCTGGCAGGAGCTACGGCGCAGGCAGCGCCCAAACCGAAGCCAGAAACGATCGAACTTCCCTCGTCTTCTGATTCTGATTCTGGCTCAATAAGCCCATCTCTTGGACCTGATCATCCTAAGCCCAGGAAGACGAAGCGAAAGAGTCCAGGCGATGATCCTAATCCTGGGGACATCAAGAGATATGCGGGGCAACCTGCTGAGCAACACGCTGATCGGCACCGATCTAGAGGGCCAGCCGTGGCCGCCGTAGCAGCCAGGTTCCAGGGCGCCAGTAAGCCTACCCCAAAGGGTCTTGTTACACGTCGCGGCCCTGCGCCTGGTCGGACGCACAGGTCAGGATGGGCGCCTACTTTGGAGGCAGGAACAGGGGGTGCGCCCTCCACGAGGCATGCTGAGAAGCTCCCTGCTACTACACCAAAGGTACCAGGAACAGTGCCCAGGGACAGGGATATCGAGTCCGACAACACCAAGGAGAATAACCACCCGGACTTTGACATCAGTACCCGCAAGGAACTCCAAGGACGCCCAGAGGTTCTGCTGGTGCGACTGCATCGGCTGCGGGCGCAGCAACGTTTGCAGCGCCAGCGTCAAAGGCTGCCCCGCGTTCTGCGAGGCAACCTGCTCATAGCTCTGCGGGGCGACCTGCTGGCAGTCAAGCGGGGCAGCCTGCCCTTATGCTGGAGGCACCGCCGGACTGCAAGGACTATTGGGGCAGGATGCGCACAGGCAACCGCATGAATATCATCAGCCCAGCATATCATCTGCAAGATGATGATGGATCTGATCGCTACATGGTTGCGCAGTACAACATCATGGGCACTGCTATCCATGCTGACGAAGGTCCACGCGCACGCCAATCAGTGCGCAACATCCTGCGGAAGCGCCCCTCCCTCACGTTGGATTCAGAGAAGGAATATTTGACGAGCGCCCTCATCACGGACAATCTTCGCAGGCCGAGGTTCCAGCATGGAGAACAACGTGAGGTGTCTGCGTGGCTGACAGCAGCCCTCCGTCACCAACCATTT